CAGGTTAGCTGGTTCCAGATTCATTGAGCTCTCTTCCATGTGGTGTTGTTGACCTGCAGCAGGAAGTACTGTATTTCCTGCTACGAGGCAGGCTGTAACCAAGCAGGCGAGGAGAGTTTTGATCTCCCATTGTAAACATGAAGTCCAGCCATGAATTTTACCCCATTAGATATTCATTTAGTTTAGGAAGACTGCTCAAAATAGTCCCTGCGCTGCTTCCCTTCACAATCCTTGTTTCCACTGTTGATGGAAATACACTTGGTGAAAATCGAAACATCACTTGGAGCAAATAAAATATTGTACTTTTCTCTGGTACGGATGGTCGGATTCCAAAAGACCTTCTGTATGGAGAATTAGTGCAGGGAAACCGCCCCAGAGGGAGACCACAGCTGCCATACAAGGACATCTGCAAGCGGGATCTGAAGGCCTTAGGAAAGGACCTCAACAGATGGGAAACCCTGACATCTGAGCATTCAGCCTGGAGGCAGGCAGTGCAAGACAGCCTCTCCCAATTTGAAGAGACCCTTGTCCAGCAGGCCGAGGCAAAGGGGCACTCACAAAAGCAGCAAAATCAGGGAGCTGGACAGGGGACAGATTCAATTTGTCTTCAGTGTTGAAGGGACGGTCACTCTAGAATTGGCCTTCTCAGACACACAATATGCTGTTCCTCTATACAGAGCATGTTACCATAGTCTCTCGAGACTGAAGGATGCCTACTGTAGAGAACCTAACTTTCACCATTTTTTCATCTAGAAGTAGAACTCCCCTCCCTGGTAAAAGTTGTTTATTTCCTTCAGGATAACTTTTTCTACGTCCTGTATCTTGCAGATTAGCTTGTGTTATTTGTTGCAGTGAAATCATTTACATACTGGGAGACTTCTTGACTTTGGGGGCTTTAAAGGAGAAGCAAACAGATCAAAATATTTTGAGACAAAGAAGTGGTGACTTCCTCACTATGGTCAGGAGGCCCTTGAAACTTATTGTGCTTCTTATCTACTTTTGGGGTAGGATGAAGACTTAGAAATGCCTGTTCATAACTATCCCTGCTTCATGTTTTGTTTTTCAGGTAGCAACACTTTGTGGTCTTCTATTTGTGATTCAATTTTTCCATTTAATTTCTCCTACTGATTTCAGAATCGGGTTGTGATTCGGAGTTCACATTGACTCAGCCCCCACTCTTCTCTTTGATATAAGGTGAAAGATGACTGGATGAGAGATGATGTTGTCCCTGTCTTCAAAAAGGACAAAAAGGAGGTACCTGGGAACTACACACCAGTCAACCTTACTCCAAACTTATGGGAAATTCTGGAGCTGATTGTAAAGTGGTCCCAAGTGGTCCCTCTGCAAGCAGTTTGAAAACAATGGAATAATAACTAGAATAACAGTCTGCTAGATTATAGATGATGGGAATGCTGTAGATGTAATATGGCCCATGATATTCTGATTATGATGATAGTCTAATTAGGTGTGGGTTGGATAGAACAACTATAAACTGAATTCACAGGTGGTTACAGAATTGTACTCAGAGAGCACTTATCCATGGCTCCTTCTCAAACTGGGGGAGAGCAACAAGTCAGGGACCACAAGGCTCAGTCCTGGGCCTAATGGCCATCCACATTTTTATTAATGACTTGGATAAGAGATTTTTAGAAGAGGTAACCATGTTAATCGGTGCTAGCATATCAGGGAAAAACAAAATAAAAATAAATAATAAGAAAAAATGTTATGGCACATTAAGACTAATTGCTATATTTCAATGTGACCAGATGGGCGGGATATAAATCGAATAAATGAATGAATGAATGAATGAATGAATGAATGAATGAATGAATGAANAAATAAATCCATTTTCTCAGACTTGGATGAAGGAGTGCAAGAGATGCTTATTAAATCTGAGAATGACACAGCATTAGGTGGAATACAGTAGCTGGAAGACAGAAAGGAAATTCAAAAAGATCTTGATAGTCTCATGTACTGGGCTGAAAACAAGAGAATGACATTTAACAGGCAAAGATGCAAAGTTCTACACCTAGGGGGAAAAACCCCAAACATCCAGTTACAAGATGGGGAATACCTGGCTCAGTAGCAGTATGAATGAGAAGGATCTTGGAATTGTCAATCAGAAGCTGAAAGTAAGTAGGCAGTGCGATGCGGCTGCAAAAAAGCCAAATGCTCTTTTAGGATGCATTAACAACAGTTTCCAAAGTCCATTAAGTACTACTTCACCTCTATCGTACAGTGGTTAGGTCTCATATTAAGTACTGTGTCCAGTTCTGGACACCAAATTTTAAGAAGGATGCCAAAACAGGTTCAGAGAAGGGCAACAAAGAGGATCAGGGGACTTTGAAGCCCTTTGAAGAAAGACTGAAAGAACCGGGCGTGTTTGGCCTTGGGAAAAGAAGACGAATGGGAGATATGATAGCACTTTTCAAATACTTGAAATATTGTTATACAAAAGAAGGCTCAAGATCTGTTCTTGATCATCCTAGATGCAGTACATGTAATCATGGGCCCAAACTACAGAAAATCTGGTTTTGGTTGAATATCAGGAAAAACCTCTTAAGAGTCTTAAGCATTAGAGCTGTATGACAAAGGAACCAAGTACTTTGGGAGGTGGTGAGCACTACAACACTGGAGACATTCAAGAGGAGATTAGACAATCCTTTGTCAGATATACTTTGTCCTGCATTGGATGCCTGCATTGACGAGGAGGTTGGACTCAGTTGAACTCCACATAGGCCCCTTCCAAGTCCATTATTCTGCGATTCTATGCAGCCACTTTGAAGACATGGGTGACCAACAGAGTGTATCTGCTCTCCTTGTGGCAGTCACGGAGCATGCCAGCCCCTGGGCCCAGAATATAAGAAGGAGCAGATTTGCATACAGGGTGTGGGGTAACGATCCATGGACACTTAAGACAGATGAGGGGGATGGCAACAGGAAATCCTTCTGTTTTAGGAAGATTACCCCATCGGGCGTCCCCAGAATGGCCTGGGCTCTGCTTCTTTCCACCATCTTGGTCTCTGTTGGTGAGGGAAATTTGTGCCCTAGAAGGGATCAAACGTACCTGTAGTCAGGACAGAGACCTTCTGTAACCTCTGTCCATGTTTGTTGGTGTTCCACTCTAATGCAGGGGAATAATCTCTTTCTGCTGCCTTGATCTCTTTCAGGTCTCAGTGTCCAGCAATTACAGCCCTTAAAGGACCGGGAATCTGTAGCGGCCGGTGGGACGGTCACTCTGTCTTGCAGATATAGTGGTGGAACTATCGGGGATGGCAATTACCCTTGGTGGGTCCAGATGAAACCTGGTAGCAGACCCTGGACAGTGATGTATACCACCAGCACACGGCCGTCTGGCATCCCAGCCCGTTTCTCTGGGTCCAGATCAGGGAACGTGATGTCTCTGACCATCACGGGGGCCCAGGGGGAAGACGAAGCCGTTTACTACTGTGTTGTGTGGACTGGAAGCCAGCACACGGTAGCTCATTCAGATGGGGAAGTGCAACAGAAACCCTTTTCTCTTTCCCTTTGCTCTTGTTCTGCCTGGTGAGAAGTTGCACCGTTTCCTTGTTCTGATTGTAACGTAAAAAAGAGGCAGAGAAATGGGATTAGAGGCCAAAGAGATGCTCATAATTTTAAGCAAGAATACCAAAATTTTCCTTAATTCCACCACCTTCATGTGGATAAAGTGGCATTTCAAATCCGAGCTTGCCCCATGTTTCACAATTTTAGTGTGAAACATACTTGCCAGAGAATTCCTGGAAGGTGTTTCGGATCTCTCTTGCCCCTCTCCCCTGTTCTGCAGCTGTGTAGTTGTAACGTAATTTGTCCATTCCAATTTGTTACTGTCTCTCACCTTCATATGAAAATCAAGATCAGTGTAAAGAAAAATAAAGTGAGATGTTTTCTACTTTATACTGTTAATATTTCATTTAAAAAGTTTAAAACCTTGTTTTACAACATACTATTGTCACAAGGTTGCAAACACATGAAACAATAAACACACTTCAAGCATTAGAAGTGGTAGCCATGTTAGTCTTTGCCAGCACATCAAGCCAAAAACTAAATAGAAGTTAAAAAAGGAAGAAAAAAATGTTGTGGCACTCTAAAGACTAACTGCCATATTTTAATGTGAGCTTTCGTGGACGAGTCCACTGTATGAGTCATAAGACGGGGACTACATGGCAAATGTTTACACATTTTTACATGACTCCAAAACAAGAGACTGTTTCCTGGGTGCAAGTTGTCATTGTTTATGGAACAATTCTTCCTCAGAGGCTAACTGAATATATCAGGAGGGGTCTTTAAGGTCATTGCCAGGTGTGAAATGCCACACAATTAACAACTAGTGTTTCAGAGGGACATGGGAAGTTTTTTATTATTATCATTATCATTATCATTATCATTATCATTATCATTATCATTATTATTATTATTATTATTATTATTATTATTATTATTATTATTATTGGATCATTGCTGATGCACTGAATCACTCAGACTAAATTAAAATGAATGTATTAACTGATAAAAACATGTCAGTGCAGTGCAGGAGCTTTTTCTTACCTCCAATAACTTGGAAAGTAGCTTGTTTGTTTTGATTGGTTTTGAAGACATAAAATGTTGGATTCCATATTATTTTTCATCCATGGAAGCCTGTCTGAATCACGTATCTTTAACACTAGCATGTTTTTATTTCTTACTTTTATCTATTTTATTTGTTTCAGCCCTTGGGCCACCGAGAAATCAAAATCAGATGCGTCCGCTGCACGCACTCGTTCTTTCAAAGGGAGAGGGTGTGGAACTGAAAGTTGGCAAAATTGAAGGGGAAAGAGGATGGAGTAAAAAACACACCAGATGAAACATTGTGGCACTTAAATTTTGCTGACATGCTGAGAAAGACTAACACAGCTACAGTGGTGCCTCGCTCAACGACAAATCCGCATAGCGATTAAGTTTTTGCGATTGCAAAAGTGATTGCATCGCGATGATTTAGATAGGAAAAAATCACTTTGCGATGATCGGTAAACTGTTTCGCTTACCGATTTTCGCACAGCGATGTTTATCTAACAGCTGATCGGCAGTTCCAAAATGGCCGCCCGCTGTGTTTTCGTGCCGATTCCTCAGCATTGTGTTTTCGTGCTGATTCCTCGCTTACCGGGCAGCATAAATGGCGGCCGTATGGAGGATTTTCGCATAATGGTGAGTTTTTTGCCCATAGGAATGCATTAAACGGGTTTTAATGCATTCCTATGGGCTTTTTTTATTTCGCATAGCGACAAAGCCACACAGCGATGATTTTTCTGGAACAGATTATCGTCGCTATGTGGGGGCACCACTGTACTTCTTTAGAAGCTTGAACTGTATGCCAAGATGCAACTTATATTTCTTGCCACAAGAGGGAGCTTTTGTATATCCAATGTTTGAATGGATCTTCTTGTATTTGCCAAATGTTGAGTAACTGGAAGAGTCACGTGTAATGGAGCTGCCCCTTTTTCTCCGGCCAGGCTCCACTGCCTTTAACAGCTGTTTTAAATGCAACCACAGTCCATGTCACTCCACAGGGCTTTTGTTCTTAACTGTCACTCTCTTGCTGACACCTGGAAACGAAGGTCAGGTGATTTCTGATGCATCTGCAGCATCTTCCCAAGGGAGGCCGGTAGTATCTGAAAGGGCATAGAACTCCCTGAAGTTGAAAATGTCACCCACCTTGCTTTTCAGCCAGGAAGCAACTGGGAGTTCAGTTTTACACAACTGCTGTTTGAGTTGGTGTCATGTTTGAAAGATGATTGAGAATTTCATTTCCATTTGTTCTTTTCCTTTTTTTAAAACAATAATTTATCTAATTCACTTTCCCCTCACATCTGTGATGAAAATAATTTAAAAAGAATTAGAACAACCAGCTAGAGGAGAGAGATAGTGCGGAGCTGATGGAGCCAGGCCCCCAGGCCAAAGGCTTTCAGGGCTTAACTCTTCAATGTCTGGGTTTGAATCCATGAGCAGTCCCCAATCATTATTTGAAAGGTGATTGTCACGGAGACTACAAAGGAGAACCCACTTGTCTCTGTGATTTTTTGAAGTTCTTCCTACCTGATCTGTGTCTGAAGTGCTCTTTGTGTGTAACCTAATCTTTAGCGAGAACCCCATTCTCAGAAATGAAGAAACGTCATTCCCAAAACTGGGTAATGTTGGTTAGCTTGGGGTTGCCCAGTGCCATCTGAATGTTCTCTGGCAGAATGATTCCCCCTCCACCCCAGGTCCAGTCCAGAGAAAAGGAGATGAAGAGAAGCAAGACATGGATGATCTAATCTGACACAGACACCAGTGAATCAAGAAGAAAAGAGAAACCGAAGGGGAAAGACTGACAGACCCGAACATCCTAAAATGAATTTCTGATATAACCTGATCAAAATTCACAGAAGAAGGCATTCTCTCTCACACACACACACACAGAGTAATGAGGGGAGCTTTTGGGTTTCATGAAGGAGTGAAGCTGTCAGTCTCCTCTTTTGGCCAGATCCTTGTCTTCCTTATAAGGTGTTGAAAATAAAGTACTGACATCATCCCTTTACTTTTCTCAGCTTCTAATGACATCATGATTTATTCATTTGTTTTAACTAAAAAACACACACCACAATAATCTATACAGCAAGGCGAGCTCTAAACTGTGAGTGGTGCCACTCCAATTCATTTGTTTTAACTAAAAAACACACACAACAATAATCTGTAGCGATGCCAGCTTTAAACTGTGGGCGGTGCCACGCCTCCCCATGCATGCTATGGTCTCTTTGCTCTGCTTTGTGGTCATTGCCGAGATGCCCAAATAGCCCTGATTCTGTTCAGGTTTGGGATTTTGGAGGATTGTAGCACACAGTCCAATCAGTGTAAACCAGGTACCATTTTTTTCATGATTTAAGCTGCACATGATTGAAAACAGAGCCTTTCTGCGCTCTAGCACACGCTCTGCTGTTGCCGTCTCCTCTCCCTCATCAGCAACTCCGGATTTCTTTCGCTCTACATTAGCTAATGTTTACTCTTTGAAAAACCACAATACCCATCCTTACCTTCTTTAAGTAAGAATCGACAAGATACCAGCATTCCACCCCCTACTTCAAACATTAAGACACACCGAGCTTGGAAAAGTTTGTCATCCAAAACACAGCTTTTTGAAGCCGTGACCACAACTAGCCTGACTTTTTCTCTCTTTCCTCCAGAGGATCCTCAAAGTGCCGGAGGAGACGTGCAGGGGCCGAACCCTAAAAAGGGATGCCAGGGAATCCTGTCTTCTCACACTGTGCTCAGAGTAGGACTGCCTCAGTTTCTTTTTTTAAATATATAATTAATTTTTTATTTTATAACACAAAAAAACACACCAAAAAACCCACATACATAACAACAAAAA